CATTTTTCGATTTTTCGGTATTTGAGTTATGGGATGTTTTTGTTTTTCGACTTTTCGATTTTTCGAGTTCAGAATTTTTCGCTTTTTTGACTTTTTACTTCATGGATTCTCAATTTTTCGTTTTTTAAACTAGAGATTTTTCAATTTTTCAACTTTTCCATTCAATTTCAATTTCAAATTCAAAGATTTTGCAATTTTTCGATTTGAGTTTGTCGAGTTTTCAATTTTTAATTTTTCCATTTGCAATTTTTCGTTTCAATTTTTTGTTTTCTTTATTTTTACAATTTCGCAATATTCCGATTTTATATTTGTTTATTTTTTCAAGTTCACTTTTTTCAGTTTTCCGTTTCATCAGTTTTTCAATTTGCAATCTTTCAATTTTTCGGTTTTTTTTTTCCTTAATTTAACGATATTTCTTAAAGTTTTCATTTTTAAATTTTCAAGTTTTCCGATTTTCCAACTTTTGGACGTTTGCAGTGTCCCGATTTGAAATTTCAGGAGTTTTCAATTTTTAATTTTCAATTTTTAGATTTTTCAGTTTTTCATTTCTTTAGTTTTTCGAGAAAAACGAGAAAGTACAAGGTATTCTAGATGACTTACGTTAAGAGTAAGTCCAAAGTTATTGAATAATAGATTGACTTTATGTTTTTTATTATAAAATTTCTTGTTCTTTGCGCCAAAAAATAGTTGAAAAAAAAATACGTCTATATATAAAAAAAACAAAGATTAAGCCCCACCCACCCACCCCAATCTCAATTGTGACGAGTTTCATATGATAATTTCTTGTAAGATTTTCAGCTCACAATGAATAAAACATTCATCACAATTGAGAAGGGGTGGGTGGGCGGGGCCTATATTTTCTTCATTTTTTCTGTGCAAAAATACAGGACAAAAATATTCCACAAAAAAGCGGCCATGAAATATAACAAAAAACTATAAAAAAAAACAAAAAAAAAAGAAATGCAACAAAAAAACTTCATAAAAATACAATAAAAAAGTGGCAACGAAATGTGACAAAATAAAAACAAAAAACTGGCTAAAAACGACAAAAAATTGTGGAAACAGGACAAAAACAGACATGCGCAAAAAGTCACTACAAATGTGACCAAAGGGGAATAAAAACGTTACAAAAAATAAGACTATTAGAAGAAATTCAAAAAAAGACGAAAAAAGTCACAAAAATTGACATAAAAAAGTGCACAAAAAAGTTAGAAATAAGTGGGAAAAAAAATGTAATAAAAAAGGCAAGGAAAAAACAAAAAAAAGTCCACAAAAAGGGCGAGACAAAATATGAAAACAGAGATAAAAAAACCATCAAAATGAGAAAAAAGGCCAAAAAACGCGATAATGAATGCAACTAAAAGAAAGGGATCAAAAAAGGTGCTAAAAAAGGTCACAAAAAAGAGAATAGTGAACACTACCAAAAAGCGAAAAAATCCACAAAAGAAAATGTAAAAACAGTGAACGAAAAAAATTTAAAATAACAAAAAAAGCGACTAGAAAATGTGATTAAAAATTGCAATAAAAAGAACGACAAAAACGCTGCAAAAAAAAGTCCAGAAAAAAGGTAAAAAAACCATTCAGTTGAAGGAAGTCATAAACGGTCACAAAAAAGACATTGAAAAAGAAAAAATTCGCAAAAACGTCGACAAAAACTCAGAAATCATAAAATATAAAAAATCCATTACAAAAGTGACAAAAAGAAGGCTAAAGAAGACGATCAAAAGAGGTCGCAAAAAAGAAAACAAGAAAACAACAAAAGAAAAGGCCGAAAAAACACAGGAGAAAAAGATTCCCAAAAAACGCGGCTACGATAAGTAACAAAAAACAATAAAAAAAGAACAAAAAAAAGTGGTGCAACACAAAAGTTCATAAAAATACAATAAAAAAAAAGGCGGCAAAAAACTGGCTAAAAACAACAAAAAGGTCACAGAAGGGACAAAAAAATCCAGAAAAAAGGCAACACAAAATTTTGAAATTCAGGATAAAAACAAATATTTAAAAAATGCGAAAAAAGTCGCGATAAAAGTGACTAGAAAGGATACAAGAACACGGACGAAAAATTTACAAATATTCCCATTAAAAAAAAAATAAACAAAAAAAGTTTGAAAAAAATGACAAAAAAGGTCGCAAAAAAGTGACTAAAAAAGGAGTCATAGCGGATCTCACAAAAAGGTAACAAAAAAGAGGCAAGAAAAAAATAAGAAAAAATCCACAAGAAAGGCGAGACAAAATGTGAAAACAGAAGACAAACAAATTTATAAAACATGAGGAAGAAGCCAAGAAGGACCAAAAAATGTCATACAAACAAAAAAATATATAAAGAAAACGAAAAAAAGAGGCAAAAAGTTCACAGAAAAGGTTGAGAAAACAGACAAACAAACAAATTCGGCAAGAAAAGTGGGTACAAAAGTAACAAGATAAAAACGTTTCCAATAAACGACAAAAAGTTTTACAAAAAATAAAACAAAAAACCGAGAAAAACGAGAACAAAAAACGACGAAAGTCCACAAAAAGACGAGTACGAAAATGTAACAAAAAAGACCATAAAAAAAGCTACAAAAAGGACAGAAAAACACATTATATTGAAAAAAAGACCACTACAAGAAATGACTAAAAAAAGAGGGCTAATTGAAAAATGCGACTAAAAGAAAAACAAGAGCAAAAGCAAAATCACAAAAAAGCTATACAAAAATAATGTATGAGACAGGGGGCCATACAAATTGACAAAAAAGACAATAAAAAGAACAAAAAACGCAACAAAAAAACTAGAAAAAATACAAAGATTACTGCAACATGTGACAAAACCAAAACAACTAAAAAACGTATCCAAACTAAGTAACGAAGGAAAAAACAGAAAAAGACAAAAATTCCACAAAAAAGTACTAAAAATACGAACACAGAGGACAAAAACAATTCAGAAAAATGTGAAAAAAGAAAAAAGTCACAAAAAACGACTAACAGAAGAGAGTCAAAAAAGAACAATGAAAACAGAACCAAAAGTCACAAAGACGATAAAAAGAGGTCGCAAAAAAGAAAACAAGAAAACGACAAAAAGGCCGAAAAAACACAGGACAAAAAGATTCCTCAAAAAGGCGACTACGAAAAGTAACAAAAAACAATAAAAAAGAACAAAAAAGAGGTGCAACACAAAAGTTCATAAAAATACAACAAAAGAGGCGGCAAAAATAACTGGTTAAAAACGACAAAAAGGGCACAGAAGGAACAAAAAAATCCAGAAAAAAGGCAACACAAAATTATGAAATAGAGGATAAAAACAAATATTTTAAAAATGCGAAAAAAGTCACGACAAAAGTGACTAGAAAGGGGACAAGAACGCGAAAGAAATAAGACTAAAAGGATGTCAAAAAAGACGAAAAAGTTACAAATATTCCCACAAAAAAAGTTTGGAAAAAAAATACAAAAAAGGTCGCAAAAAAGTGACTAAAAAGGGAGTCATAGAAGATCTCACAAAAAGGCAAAACAGAGGCAAGAAAAAAAAAAGAAAAAATTCAGAAGAAAGGCGAGACAAAATGTGAAAACATACAACGAGTATAAAGAAAACGAAAAAAAAGGCAAAAAGTTCACAGAAAAGGTTAAGAAAACAAGAGCAAAAGTAAAATCACAAAAAAAACTATAAAAACAGAAGAAAAAATAATGGATGAGACAGGTGGCCATACAAACTGACAAAAAAGACAATAAAAAGAACAAAAAAAACGCAACAAAAAAAACTACAAAAAATACAAAGATTACTGCAACATGTGACAAAATAAAAACAACTAAAAAACGTATCCAAACTAAGTGACGAAGAAGCAAACAGAAAAAGACAAAAATTCCACAAAAAAGTAGTAAAAATACGAACACAGAAGACAAACAATTCACAAAAATGTGAAAAAAGAAAAAAGTCACAAAAAAGTACCCAAATAGTACGAATAGTAGACGAATAGTACGAAAACAGAAGACAAAAAAATCACTAAAAAGAGCGGTTACATAAAGTGATAAAAAATGACGTTATAAAGTAGATAAACACTCCAAAAAATACAAAAAATTCAGCAAAAAAAACAAGAAAACTCCACAAAAAAACGACAGATAATGCGAAAAGGGGAAATTACAAAAAAAGTGGGCAAACACTACACAAAAAAAAAACAGATGCAGCAAAAAAAGGCTGTTACAAGGGTGGCAAAATAACGACAAAAAATAGCCTAAAAAGCGACAAAAAAAAAATCACAAAAAAGGAAGTAAAAAACAAAACGGCCAGAAATAAGACGGCAAAAATAGAGAACAAAAAAATCATTAATAAAACAGAATAAAGGACAGAAAAAAATACTAAAAATAAAGGCAAAAAACGCGACTAAAAGAATCGATTCAGGAGACAAAAAAAGAGTACAAAAAAGGCCACCAAAAAAGCGTCGAAAAGTCAATAAAAAATAGAAAAAAGGCACTACAAACATTAACAAGGAAAAAACAAAAAAAACTACAAAAGCGACAAAAAGTCAGAAAAAAAGAAAATAAAACAAGCAGAAGTATGGTTATTGTAGAAAATTAAATAACATTTACTATGCAAAATCTTGAGGTGACATCATCAAATTGTTGGCGAGGAAGATCGGAGACATTTTGGTAGGCCAAAATAATAGAATAATTTCGGAGACAGATAAACAGACAGAAAGAAAATCAAATAACAGCCTACTTTTGTAATAGTTTTTGAATTTAAAATAATTATTCAAAATATAAGATCATCAATATTTTTAGCTTTACATTAGAAATATATGGTGCTTATTTAAAGCGTGTTTGACAATATTTTCCGTCTTTCACTAAATCAATTTACCTATGAGAACTGATTCAAAGCCGACTTTTGACAAAAACGCTGACAAAGCTCCACCTAACGAACTTAAATCTCCTCAATTAAATTTCGAGCCGGCACAGACATCCCACGGACGGCCCGCCGGAAACGCGCCCTCGCATTCAGCAATCGCCGACCGTTTAATCATCGCCCTCCTCACCTGAACGCCCCGATGCCTCCCGCCTCCAGCGTCTCGGCGCCTTTGTAAGTGTTTATTAGTTCGAAGTGGGCCGTGAAGACGCCTCGTGGATCATTCGGCGTCGCCTTCGCGGCGATCGTCAGCCCTCGGAAAACAATCTGCGACGTCGAGGCGCTCTCTTCGACGCTCACTTGTTTCTCACTAAAGAACCTCTCTAAATCACAACAGTTCATGTAAGACACTAGGACAGTCAGGATAACACAGTGAAGAAATAACATCTCCGAGTCGGTTCCTCAATTCCACGCCATCTGCATTACGGAGGAGTCGCGACGAATCTGAAACAAATTACGACGGTCGTGAGTTCCCAGTCAAGGCGAGCAGGTGTCTGATTAATAAAATCGAGTGTGATGGACTGACTAATTATTGATGGAGTGCGTCACTGTGATTTGTTTGCTAAGTCGGAGAGCGAAAGAAGGTCGCGCCGGGCCGGCGGAGGCCGTAAAAGTTTGATTCTGGTAGCTGATGTGCGTTGTTTTTCACTAAAGTGGATCATAAAGTCGGAAAAAACGGCCAGGATTATGTGGTTTTCGCAGAGTTATGAAAGATTAACATGTGTTGTGGTGGGCGGTTTTCCAAAATTGATGGTTATAGATTTTTTTCTTGGAAGTTGGGGACGGTTATGAAAATACTCTGTCACTGAATAATGTGGAGTTCATAACGTGTTATTAGCACACCTTGAAAATAATTACTTCGTAATTACATTGTTTTGCGAATTTAAAACTTTTTGTTGGTCGCATTAAACAAGAACTAAGTTATTTTTAAAACTGTGTTATTTTTCATACATCCGTCAAGCCGGTTTTTCGACATTTACAACGGCTAAAATTTAGTAAATATACTGGTTTGAATATCAAGAAAATTATATAATATAACATTAGTACGACTTTTTATCCCCACAACACCGAAAACACAATATATGTCCACGCGTTTCGCCACCCACGGTGGCATCATCTAGATAAAGTTATACTCCACAAAATTACATAATTTCAAGCAGGAAAGATTCCGACAGAACTTCCCTCGCACCTAAAGTACTCTGAAATATATACAGCATTTTTGAGTTGAGTTTTTACTTTACACAATTTTGTGATGACGTCATCAACATTTTTGCAAGGACACAAGTTTTTATTTTAACAAATACTAGGCCCGCCCACCCGCCCCCTATTTTCCCAGATGATATGTCATTTGTCAAAATCAGTCTTATCTTACCAAGTACTATTCCCGCCCAACCACTCTTTACTTTCTTAGAGAGTATGTTCTTTCCCAAAATCAGTCTTACCTTATCAACTAATAGCCCCGCCCACCCGCCCCCTACTTTCTCCGAGGATGTCCTTTGCCAAAATAATACCTATATTAGCAAGAACTAGCCCCGCCCACCCGCCCTTTATTTTCTCAGAGGATAGTATTTTTTAGTACTTGCTAAGATAAGTCTTAATTTGGCAAATCACATATCCTCTGAGAAAATAGGGGGCGGGTGGGGGGGGCTAGCACTTGCTCAGATAAGACTGATTTTGGCAAACGCCATACCCTCTGAAAAAAATAGAGGGTGGGTGGGCGGGGCTAGTTTTTGCTAACATTGGTCTTATTTTGGCCAATGACATCCTCTGAGAAAATAGGGGGTGGGGTTAGTACCTAGTAAGATAAGACTGATTTTGGAAAATGACATAAACTTGGTGTTAAATTGCATATTTCCATAGTAACCCTGTATAAGCGTATTCAAAAAATATTAATTATATATTGAAAATAAATTTCAAGTATAGACTCATCATATTTTGCACATTCAAGATAGGGTATATTCAGCAATATTTTGACGTGACGGCATCAATTTTTGAGGTAGATAACTTTAAAATGTCTCAAAGGATTCGGTTTTGCAGTTCCTGATTAAATCGGTAAAATAAATTCACGCATTCATTAATTTTTTTGTGTCACGCTGAGAAAATGGGAGAAGTCAAAAAGGTCCAAAAATCCACAAAAACATAGGACAAGAAAATTAAACAAAAAGGGCAGCTACAGAAAATTACAATAAAGATAATAAAAAAGGACAAAAGAAATTAACAAGGAAGTCTAGAAAATAATGTGAAAATAGAGGACATCCACAAATAAAAAAAATATGCATAAAAAAACGAAAAATAGTCACTTTTTGTAAGGAGTCAAAAAGGGCTAAAAAACAGAGTACAAAAAAAAATCGACAAGAATGTCAACAAAAATACAATAAAAACAAGATAAAAACGCTACAAAAAAGGCGAGCACAAAAGGGGGGAGCAAATAAACGACAAAAAAGTCCACAAAAGGCGATGACTACAAAAAACATAATAAAGAGATCACAAAAAATAACAAAAAAAAACAACAAAAAAAACAAAAAACACAATGAAAGAAGAAACTTCCAAAAAGTCCACGAAAATGTGAAAATAGAGGACAAAAATGCATAAAAAAAGTAAAGGTCTACAGATCCCTGAAAAAGGGGTCTGAAAACGCCGCAAAAGCGACTAAACAGGAACTCAAAAAAAAAACAACAAAAATGCCAAAAAAAAACGACTACAAAAAAGAGGACCAAAAAAATCAGCAAAACAGTTCGTAAAAAGGGTGACCATAAAAAACATGACAAAAAAGAACCACCAAAAATGTGAATAACAGTAAGAAGGTCGCAAAAAATCTATAAAAAAGGACAAGAAGTTCACAAAGAAGGAGACAAGACATGTGAAAATAACGCACAAAAAAATCTATAAAAATAAGAAAAACGCCTATAGAAAACAATGCAACTAAAAAGGGAATCAAAAGAGGCGACAAGGAAACCTGAGAAAAAGGTGACAGACATTCCAAAAACAAGGTTACAAAATCAGAGTACAAAAAATCGATAAGGTCAGCAAAAAGCAATAAAAACAGCTAAAAACCACCAAAAATAGACATCAAAATTCCACAAAAAAGTCCACAAAAGAAAAGGTGACTACAAAAACGTAACAAAAGAGATCACAAAATAATAACAAAAAAATAACAAAAAAACAACAAAAAACAACAATGACAACAAAAAAGATAATGAAAGAAGGAGATAAATTTAGAAAAAAAGCCCACAATAATGTGAAAGTAGAGGACAAAGAATCCAAAAAAAAAATAAAAAGTCTACAGAAAATGCCTGAAAAAGGCAGCTGAAACGCCAGAAAAAAATGCAACTAAACAGGGACTCAAAAAAAGGGACAAAAGTATCAAAAAACGGGAGTAGCAGACGAAAAAGTCCACAAAAAAAGACACAAAAACAGAGTACATAAAAATTCAACTAAAAGAAGAAACGATAAAGGGAAGAACAGAAGAATCAACAAAAACGTTTACAAAAATGCCTCAAAAAAAAAGGACTAAGCATAAAATGACAAAAAAGCGACTACAAAAAAGGACCAAAAAAACGAAAAAAAGTTCGCAAATAATAGAAGAGATTCAAGAAAGAACACAAAAAACTTTTTGTTGGTCGCATTAAACAAGAACTAAGTTATTTTTAAAACTGTGTTATTTTTCATACATCTGTCAAGCCGGTTTTTTGACATTTACCACGGCTAAAATTTAGTAAATATACTGGTTTGAATATCAAGAAAATTATATAATATAACATTAGTACGACTTTTTATCCCCACAACACCGAAAACACAATATTTGCCCACGCGTTTCGCCAACCACGGTGGCATCATCTAAATAAAGTTATACTCAACAAAATTACATAATTTCAAGCAGGAAAGATTCCGACAGAACTTCCCTCGCACCTAAAGTACACTCAAATATATACAGCATTTTTGGTTGACACACAATTTTGTGATGACGTCATCAACATTTTTGCAAGGACACAATTTTGATTGATTTTGTCCCTAATATAGGGGCAAAATCACTTTTATTTTAACAAATACTAGGCCCGCCCACCCGCCCCCTATTTTCCCAGAGGATGTCATTTGTCAAAATCAGTTTTATCTTACCAAGTACTAGCCCCGCCCACCCGCCCCATACTTTCTCAGAGGATCTCCTTTGCCGAAATAAGACCTATATTAGCAAGAACTAGCCCCGCCCTTTATTTTCTCAGAGGGTAGTATTTTTTAGTACTTGCTAAGATAAGTCTTATTTTGGCAAATGACATATCCTCTGAGAAAATATGGGGCGGGTGGGCGGGGCTAGCACTTGCCCAGATAAGACTGATTTTGGCAGACGCCATACCCTATGAAAAAAATAGAGGGTGGGTGGGCGGGGCTAGTTCTTGCTAACATAGGTCTTATTTTGGCCAATGACACCCTCTGAGAAAATAGGGGGCGGGTGGGCGGGATTAGTACCTTTTAAGATAAGACTGATTTTGGAAAATGACATAAACTTGGTGTTAAATTGCATATTTCCATAGTAACGAGTTAATATTTTTCTGAGACACCCTGTATAAGCGAATTCAAAAAATATTAATTATATATTAAAAATAAATTTCAAGTATAGACTCTTCATATTTTGTACATTCAAACAAACAAGTACAAAGATAAAAGAAATTGATACAGAAGTCTAGAAAATAATGTGAAAATAGAGGACATCTACAAATAAAAAAAAATATGCATAAAAAAAAAGGAAAAATAGTCACTTTTTGTAGGGAGTCAAAAAAGGCGACAAAAAAAGGTCTATAAAACGTGAGAAAAATGTTACAAGAAGCCCACAAAAAAGCCTACAAAAACAGAATACAAAAAATTCGACAAGAATGTCACCAAAAATGCAATAAAAACAAGATAAAAAACGCTACAAAAAAGGCGACCACAAAAAAGGGGAGCAAATAAACGACAAAAAAAGTCCACAAAAGACGATGACTACAAAAAACGTAATAAAGAGATCACAAAAAATAACAAAAAAAACAACAAAAACTTCAAAAATAAACAAAAAACACAAAAAACAAAAATGCATAAAAAAAGTAAAAGGTCTACAGATGCCTGAAAAAGGGGGCTGAAAACGCTAAAAACAACAAAAATGCCAAATAAACGCCGGACGAAGACGAAAAATTGGCTACAAAAACATAGTATAAAAAAATTGAACTAAAAGTGCGGCCACAAAAAAATGACAAAAAAGGACTATAAAATGACAAAAAAGCGACTACAAATAAAGGACCAAAAAAATCGGCAAAACAGTTCATAAAAAAGGTAACTTAAAAAAAAATGGCAAAAAAGGATAATAAAAAATGTGAATAACAAAAAGAAAGTCACAAAAAGGGAATAAAAAAGACAATGAAAAAGGACAAGAAATCCACAAAGAAGGAGACAAAACATGTGAAAATAAAGAACAA